TTGTATTTTGTTATATTACATTATATTTTATTGTATTATATTATATTATATTATATTATATTATATTATATTGTATTATATTATATTATATTATATTATATTATATTATATTATATTATATTATATCATATTATATTATATTATATTATATTTTATTTTATTGTATTATTATATATTATATTATATTATATTATATTATATTATATTATATTATATTATATTATATTCATTGCATTCATTCATTTTCTTACATTGCTAATCTATTTCAATTATATTGATCTTATTCAGTTCCTCACACATATTCTATTATGTAGATTATTTTGTTTGCCATTTTTTCATTTCTATGGCTTACATATTTAAGATTATATATTTTATAACTTACATTTATTTCATTTTATGAATTGTGTGTTATGTATTTGTTTTATAATATAATTTTCCTTACACTTCTTGCATTTACCAACTTTTATTCCATTCATCCATTGACATTTTATACATGCATACTGTATATAATCTAAATCTAAAACATTTTTTCTTATATTTACTTCATTTCTAACATCTTATTCTACTCCTTAGATATATTCAATTCTATTATATGTTATATGTATTGCATATCTTTTTCTAGTACTTACATTTATTCCACTCTGTAAAACCCAACAGTCAACTTTATAATCGAAATGAGTGTAGTTAACTCAAAATTGACTGAAAGATAATTCTACTCAAGTTCACAATACTCGTAAAGAATGCAAAGATTCAGTGACTCTTCTCTCCGCTGTACTGAAGGATTCTCGCTGTAAACTGGAGACACTGGGGTAAGATTTGACTCTCACTGACTGAGTTCCACACAATTCATTCATGTTGTCCCAACACAAATCTATTAAATTAACTTAACACTTTTAACAAATTTATGTGGATTGCACATAAACAAAAGTTGTCCCAATGAAATCTCAAGAATTGTGTTGTTTTGGCTCATTTTAATTTAGTTTGAACAAGTAAAAATGTATATACTGTATATTTTTTGAGTGTATAGATAAGTTTTTCAACTTAAATGGTTTGGAGCAATCGGTTTCCTCAAACAGTTTGAGTTGCCTTAACTTATTGGGTTTTACTGTACTCAGTTAGTTTGAGTTCTCTTCATTTTTGGGGTTTTACTGTGCTCAAATTGCTTTGTTTACTCAAATGGATTAAGTTCCCTGTACTCATTAGGATTAGTTTTTGAATTTAAAGGGTTTGTTGAAATCGGTCTCAAACAGTTTGAGTAACCTTAACTTTTTGGGTTTTACAGTGTATTTATCCTGCTATATTTTATTTGATTGTATTCTGGATCTTATTATTTTCTTACGTTTACTCTGTTGTATTACTTCTCTTATTTCTTTAACGTTTAATCTATTCTATTTTATTCTTTATTTTTTCTGAAATTAAGTAAGGAATTGTCATAAGATATAACTACATGTAACAAGACACAAATACTGTATGTAGGCTATGTAATAAAATGAAATTAATGAAAAATATAGCTTAGAATGGAGCCAAATATTATAACTTAAAATTATTATTATTCATTACATTTATTCACTGCTTTTCTGGACACTCAAAGAGGGAATCTTTTCAACCATCAGCATTGTGCCGCATCCACCCGGATGAAGCGACGGCAGCCATTCTGTGCCAGATTATTGGTGGAGAGGAGACAGGGGGATGAAGCCAATTATGATATTATGGGGATGGTTAGGAGGCCATGATGGAAAGAAGCCAATGGGCAAGTTTGGCCAGAATGCCGGGGATACACCCCTACTCTTATAGAAGGACAACCTGGGATTTTTAATGAACACAGAGTATTTCTGTGCTATGATGTACTAACACTTGGCTAATTGAACTGTGCCCGGGTGGGTTTGATCCCTTATATCTTGGTTCGTTTGACAAGTGTGAGTTTTCAAAAAACATAATGTCAATTTTAAGGGACTGTTTCATATGAATTTATTAATCATTCTTACTTTTCAATGAATGCGAACTGTCATAGTTTATGCAAACCCCTCACTGCACTTCAGCTGCCACCTTCAGCAAACCTCCTAATACGTGCAGCACGATACCTTTTATAACAGTTTATGAGCATCAAAAGGGATGGATCTGTTCAGCAAAAGATTTGACTGTGTGCCACTGCATCCCAAACCACTCAACATAATACAAAAGTATGTACCTAAAGAAATCTTTATTGTATGAGCGAGTGCACTTCTCTCTTGTTTAACTGAACAGTACTGGCCAAACTTGCTATTCCAGTAGCAATCTAGTTTTTCTAAAGGCTCCCTTCCAGGGACTGACCATGCACAGCCCTGCTTCGTTTCTGTGGGCAACCATGTGAGAGCTGCAGAAAGCTGGTTGCCAAAACAGAACAAAACAGATGCAAGGTGTAAGATGTGATGTTTGTACTCTTGAAGTCATAGTCCTTAAATCATTGGCTAGCGTTGAAACCACATCATCCTGATCACAATCATTTTCTCCTCTCTTACTAACAATATCTAAAAAGTATCAAATGGGGTCAAAACGAAATGATTACAGAACCCCAGAGCTGACTGGACCTTGTGCTGTTGCTCAGAGTTGTGCCTGCACTCACTTCTGTTTGTCTGTGCTCTTGACTGGAGCCTGTCTGTGGACTAAATGACATTGTGTGTGTGTGTGTGTGTGTGCATTTGTGTGTGTTTGAGGAGGAGGAGAGGAAGACTCATAGGAGCTGTTACAGAACAGATGGTCCCAGCGCGACACTGGACCTCCGACCGAGGAAAAATCAATGCTCATAACTTCAAAACAAAAAAGAAATTAATAAATATGGAGGAACACAAGATTGCTTTGCATCAGTGTCGCATTCTAATTAATAGGTGTTTTGTTTGTGGGTTGTTGGTGTTTTTTTCTCCCCTCCTTTTCTCCGACGGTGACAATTTATGCTTTTTTAGAGCGGAAGGCAGACTGTGAAGATTCCAAATCAAGCTCGTCTGCTTTTTCTTCTCTTTTTTTTCTCTCTCTCTCTCTTCTTCTCACACGCTTCCCCCCTTCCGCACAAACACACCTCCACTGTCTGCTCCTCATCTTCTCTTTTGGTCTTTCTCCTCATAATCTTTTCCCACTGACGTCCCCCATGGGTCAAGCTAGAGCGTTTGGTGGAAAACGGATGGTAAAACATTTTGACAGGGATATTGATATTGGTTTTTACGTTTGAGATGGAGAGGACTGTCTGTATGACCTCTTTTTTTGGTTTGTTTTATCTTGTGCAAGTTAATCATGATGACAGATAATTAACATTAGATATTAGCACATTGATGGGGTACACATTTAATCATTTAGCGGATGCTTTTATGCAAATAAACAACAAAATGTATGAACCTTTGTTTGTTTGTTTGTTTGTTTACTATTTTATAGTTACAATTTCTATAAATTATATCTGTCTTGATTTGTTTATCAGATACCTAAATGTAACCAATTATTTCAGCTATTTAGACAATTATACAGTGCTCAGCATAATTAAGTACATCCCATTTTGAAAATGAAAATTTTTATTAATTTCTCAGTGAATATAGGAAATGTGTTTTGGTGTATTTATTATTAATAATCAGATTGATAAAACAGATATATTTCTTAAAATAATCTTTGAAGAGAATACAATTAATTTCAAGATAAATATTGCGAAAGAATCTCAACCTACAAAATTTCAACTACATTTTTCAATTTTACATATATTTAATTTAATATGAAAAACGAAAGCATGTTTTTAACAAAACTAATATTGGATTTGTTTTTTAAATGCTTGTGCAAACAATATAATTTGCACAAAGAAATTATGTGGTTCTCCTCTAAAGAAGTTGTTACCACCAAATTTAGAGCATCATTATGGGTGTTTTACGTTATATCTTATGTGGTTCAAACGATCTGCAAAAGAGAAACTGCAGGATTTGGGAAACACTCGTCACTACATCATTCTTTTCCCAAATGATGGATAGTACTATGATAGTTCATTTGCGAGTTACACCGTTGTTTGGGAAACGAACCACAGCTTGGTGTTGACCGACTGACCGATTCCCTTTTCTAAACCCAACCAATAGTGCTTTCATAAGCGATCTAGAAAAGAAAAGAAAAGAAAAGAAAAGAAAATGTGTCGCAGCTGCGTGATTTTACCACAATTTTGTATTTTACCACATTTTCAGCCTGTCATTTATTTATTTTTGCATTACCTGGTTTCTGAAACCCATTATTTTACCATTGCATTTATAAGTGCTGTAGAAATGTGTGTGACTGATTGATTACAATGCTCATAGCTACGAAATTATGTAAATAAAAAATTATCCTGAATTTGTGATGCATTTTTGTTTATTTTGATGAAAAGCCCTCTGTTTGTTTTGGACCCTGATTCAGAAACAGTACGTCCATTCAGATTCAATATACAGTGCTCAGCATAAATAAGGTTTTGATAATGAATATGTTTATCCATTTCTTAGTCAATATAGCCAAAATATGTTTAAACAAAATCCATTAAAAAAGGTTTTGTCACCTAACATTTTTAAGAAATGATAATACATTTAAACTACAAAATGGCAGCTAAATTTCATGTTTATTTTATATTTCTCTTGATTTTTTTCTGCTTATTAAAATTTTATTACATTTTTCCCCTCATGTCAATTTGGGTGCACTCAGTTTTGGACTGTGGAATTTTTTTTTCTTAGATTAGTTCCAGTTTTGACAGTACTGACTAATCTATTGTAAATGAACAAATATTTTATTGTAAAGCATCCTATATTCATTTAAAAGAGAGACCTGTACTGCTGAGCACTTATGCTGAGCACTGTACCATTAACAGAATCTAAAGAATCTAGTAGGTCATTTTAAGTTCAGAATAAAACCAAGAAGGTTTGAAGATGGACGTTTGCTACTCTTTTTTTTTTTTGTTTGTTTTACATCTTTGACCTCATTGGTTACCTCTTTCTTGCTAATTGTCTTTCTGTGTGCCTGTTTCTCTATCTCAGACCCATCAGATCAGCTGCTGGAGGTGGTGGGTCTGGAAGGAGCAATGGAAATGGGACAGATCTACACGGGGCTGAAGAGCGCAGGCAGACGACTGGCTCAGTGTTCATCTATCACTATCAGGTTACACATTATTTACAAACTAACCCTAATTGGCCCTTCGCAAATCCTTGCCCCCCTTCTCACTGTCCAACAAGCTTTCACTATAAGTCATGGCGCTCCCCTATCAATGTGTGTGCACTCTCTAGGAAAAAAGTGAGCAATTTCTGTAGAAACTACATACAGATTTCAGACAAAAGCAGACATGAAGGTCTGTATCATACAAATTTGCAATGTGAGTGTAAATTAAAACAAAATAAAGATTGAAGCTATAACTATAGCCAAATTGATTGCACACATAAATCACACACTCACATAAATGGTGGCATTGTGAACCAGATAATATCGCATCTACAAAATTATAAGAGACAGTAAAATTGCATTCATAGTGTATCTGGGGCTATGCAGTTTAAATTAGCTCATCTAACCTGTCATATTCTGACATATTCATTGGTTATTGTCACATCACATATTTATACTAAAGTTCTCCAAATATATTTTATATAAAATATATGCCCTGCCTATCCGTGTACCTGCATTGTAAGGACTTATATGAGCACGTTTTCACAAGTTCTTCATATTAATTGCCAATGTTACTCTACTATCTCTGCTTAGTCTATAGCAGTGGTTCTCAAACTGTGGTACGTGTACCACTAGTGGAACGCAGGCTTCCTTCTAGTGGTATGCGAAATAATCCCTGAATAATTCAAATAAAAGAAATGAACACACTTTTAACCCTTTGATGCGTACAATAACACAAATGTGATCAGGAAATTGATTTAAATAGGTTAAACCTTTTATTTTATTTTCAATTTTATAATGTATGTTATGTATTCTATCATTTAAAGTTGATTTCCTCCCCATATTTGTAATTGTTGTTGGGGGCATATCCCGTATTTTTATATCCCAATGTATGTGACAGGTAATCACTTGCTTTTCTGACACAAATAGACTACTCTAACGTGCAGTTAGCAGATCTAATTTCTATTTTAAATATGTAAATCCAATTCATAAATCTAAAACACAAGTTAATGTTTAGATTTCAAAGATATGCAAATAAGTCATAGCCTATACATGCATCATATATTTCAAAATTTACCAAAAAGAGTTTATATATGAATATGATAGCATTTAGCTTATATTTATGAGGTCCAAGGAACATTTCCAGATTTTAACGAATAGGCTACTTTATGATAATACTTTACATTTAAGTACAGCAGTTTTTGTTTTACTTTTTAAGAACAGCTGTCATTTTTAATTAACTTTTAAAAGCAAATAATTTAAACATTGACGTTTTATTTATTTTTGCCTGTAAGCAAAGTACAGTGTTAATGTTCAAACTATTTATAATGTTTAAAGTGGCTGACAATAATAAATATTCATAATAAGAAGAATTAATCTGCCTCGTTTTTGAACTGTGCGGTGCTGTAGCTGCTTAGTTAGGCGTAGTGGTACTTGGAAAGACAATTTTTTTCTGAGGTGGTACTTGGAAGAAAGTTTGAAAACCACTGGTCAATATCTTTTCTGCTTTTCAGAGAAAGTGGCGCACAGTGATGAGGGCACAGAATGACGGTGTTATGATTGGCCGGATTGCTTGTCAATTAAACTGCCTGTGAAAGATCAACTACATTCCACAGTGGTGTTCTTCAAAAATATATAAATAAATAAATTCCAGGAATTCTACATTTAACAATGTAAAAATGTCTACATGGTCCAATGAAGTTTTAAGGCACAATTACACAACACTGTTTCCAACAATTTTTTTAAAATGCACTTTGGCTGTTCATTTACATGACAGTGATGTTTTGGGGAACCGGATAAACATACTTTTGAAAATGTTTTCAAAGTTTGTGGTAGTAGAGAGGTAGCCACATAACATGAAATTAAATAACAGACATGGCCTGTGGTGTTGCTGAATATGCTCATCACTTATCACTCATCAGTGTATTTGCAGATCTATTTTTTCTTTAATTTTAGAAAAAAGTAATAGTGTTTATGTACAGAGACATAGAATTTATGAAAAGTACTACATTATATATATATATATATATATATATATATATATATATATATATATATATATATATATATATATATATATATATATATATATATATATATATATATATATATATATACATATATACATATACACACACACAGCTGAAGTCAAAATTATTAGCCCCCCTGAGTTATTCACCTCCATTTAATTTTTTCCTCAATTTCTGTTTAACAGAGAGCAGATTTTTTTTCAACACATTTCTAAACATAATAGTTTAATAACTCATTTCTAATAACTGTTTTATTTTATTTTTGACATAATGACAGTAAATAATATTTGACTAGATATTTTTCAGGACACTTTTGTACAGCTTAGAGTGACTTATAAAGGCTTAACTAGGTTAATTAGGTTAACTAGGCAGGTCAGATTAATTAGGCAAGTTATTGTATAACAATGGTTTGTTCTGCAGACTGTTGAAAAAATATATAGCTTAAAGGGGCTAATCATTATGTCACTAAAATGTTTTTAAAAAAATAATCACTGCTTTTATTCTAGCTGAAATAAAACAAATAAGACTTTCTCCAGAAGAAAAAAAAATATTATCAGACATTCCTTGCTCTGTTAACAATAATTAAGGAAATGTTTAAAGAAGAAAAAAAATGAAAGGGGGGCTAATAATTCTGACTTCAACTGTATACACTGTGTATTTAACTTCATTTTCTTCATCATTCCTTATTATAAACCTACAGCACTCTGTGTTTTATTGACAGAACCAGTAAATCCCTCCCTATGCAAATAGATGGTGAGCCATGGATGCAGAGCCCATGCACTGTAAGTATGACCTGCACATTGCACTTCTTTTTATATTGTTCAATATATTTATTGCTACTAGTGTTCACTTTTTAGTCATGTCAATAACTAAGAACCATTTTCTCCCATTCCTCCAAACCCAGTTATGGTTTGGTCAGTATTCGTTTTTTTCCCCCGATACCTTGTGTAAAAACCAGCAAAGCATCATAAAAGCAAGCTGAAAATATGCTCTGGCGCGACACAACCACCTCATTTGCAAGATTCCAAGCTTTGTTTGCTTTTAATTAAAGTTTCTCTTCTCTGAAAGCATCTTTTCTGAAGTGCCGTGTTCATTTACATATACTTCATTTTGCCGATGCCTGGAATCCAAAAAGCATGACAACACAATTAATTGGAAGGAGCACTTCTACCTGTAGATTAAAACTCTGGCTAAAAGAAGACACCGACACAACTGTTATAATAGCAGCTGATCTCCATGGCAGCCTATGACTTCACTGATGCTTAATTAGTGTCAGCAGATTTAAGCAATGCTTTCCAGACTCTACAGTCAATATTCAGGTGTTCCAATTCATCCTCAGCAAAAGTGATTATGCTAATCCGGATTTTGGTGCTGCTGCGTTGTGGTTGTATTTGCTCATGAGGGTTTTTTCTGCAAAAATGACAGAGGTTTAAATTCTTTTATTGTTATTATGTGGTTGCAAATCGATGTAAAAAGGCTCGAATTATGTCTTATGCTGTTTTTATCTCAAAATATTCATTTCACATACCTGTATATTGCTAAATAAAATGTTTTGCATTGTATTATTATGATAATAAAAGGTGTGCTCTTACATTAAAACCATCAACATAATAATTTTTGATGTGAAGAGCAAAAAAAAATGTGCTAAATCATTTAATAACTAAGCTCTGCAGTGTGTCTCAAAATTAAATGTTTGAAATGAGTATTTCCCCATAAAATAATATTGTATTTTTATAATGCACATTGCAAAGTCATATATCTAATAATATTCATAATAAAACCTAATATTACTTTAATGAATATAATAATTATTACATGTAAAAATAATAAATGTAATTTTCAAAGTTTTTTGAATAGATTTACTTGCTTAAGTTATACATTATTTATTATTATAGAAATTATTAATATATAAACTATATATAAATATATAAAAAATTCTGATATAACAGCTTTGTATATTAAAGATATGCAAAAATTATGTCCAAAATATATAAGTACTGACTTGAAATTTTTCGTCTATTTTTAATCTAAAAATTTGAATTTCTCATATATCATTAATATGTGATGATAAAGTAATATACTTTTTCAATTGTGCAGTTGTAATATGCACTAACTGGCCACTTTATTAGGTACACAAACTGCTTGTTAGCGCAAATTTCTAATCAGCCAATCACGTGGCAGCAACTCATGAATTTAGGCATGTAGACACGTTGAAGACGATCCGCTGCAGTTCAAACTGAGCATCAGAATGAGGAAGAAAGGTGATTTAAGTGACTTTAAATGTGGCATGGGTGTTGGTGCCAGACAGGTTGGACTGAGTATTTCAGAAACTGCTGATCTACTGGGATTTTCACGCACAACCATCTCTAGGGTTTACAGAGAAAATCAGTTTATCCATCCCTTTGTGACTACAGTGTAATCATCTTCTGATGGCAACTTCCAGCAGGATAAAGAGCCATTTTAGAAAGTGTGAATCTTCTAAGACTGGTTTCTTGAACATGACAATGAGCTCACTCCACTCAAATGGCCTCCACAGTCACCAGATTTCAATCCAATAGAGCATCTTTGGGATGTGGTGGAACGGGAGATTCACATCATGGATGTGCAGCCAACAATTCTGCTGCAACTGCATGATGCTATCATTTCAAAGTGGACCAAAATCTCTGAGGAATATTTCCAGTACCTTGCTGAATCTATGCAATGAAGGATTAAGGCAGTTCTGAAGGCAAAAGGCGGTTCAAGTACTAGTATTATTACCCAGTACTAGTTAGGTGTACCTAATAACGTGGCCGGTGAGTGTGTTCTATATGGTGCTTCCATTGTAAATTCAATAAATAATTGTTATTAATGTGCGGAGTAAAAGAAAAGAATTAAGTAACAATGACATTTTCTCCGGAATTTAAGCTTAATTAGTGGTAGAAGCGGGAACGTAGCATTAAATTATTCTGTTCAAGGTCCTTGATTTTTAGTACAGATATAAAGTTTCTTGAGCACCATTTCTAAAAGTTTACACCAATAATAGCTTTAAAATAAATATTTTAAATTATTTAAAATATTATAAATGGTTTTAAATATAAAAATATAGATTTTATTCTAAATAATATTACTATACCAAATCTATCAAAATAAATTCTATTTCTAAACATTTTTTATTATTTTGCTTTGCATTAATTAGCAATAAAGATCTGTTTTATTCTGTAGAGAATCATCCAATCTATTATTTATAAAAGTGATGTAAAATCCTCACCTTATGGCACCTAATCTTGTCTTTGTAAATAGCTCCAGAGAGACACTAAAAAGGGCACCATTCCAATAAATTTGCATTATATATGAACACTCTCGATTTCACCCCATATGTTAAAAAATGTCATGTTGACTCTTCCTCTTAATTAAACTAAAATGCTACGAAGGTTTTCTTTTTGAGGCGTTCAGTACCATTTACCTCCTTATGCCATTTCTGTGTCAGAATACTTTCATGAACAAAGCACACGGGCGAATTCAAAGCGAAGAGCTTGATATTTACCATCACCGTCACCTTTGATGTGGAATTATAATTGACCCACAAATAGAGAATTCAGCATCCAATTAAATGTGACACGAGCGGACTTAATAAACAAGATTTTAATGACACTTACATTTCAGTCTAGTCCATTAGCCCACGTCTAGTTTTTCCACATCATCCTTGAGAAGTGTGGACATGCCAAATGTAACATTTAAAGGGCTGTTCACTCAAAAAAATCTAAGCTTTAAACCTAAGATTGAGGGTAAATTAACAGCATTTCTTTTTCTTTAGCTGATACTATGATTCAGCTACACCTTGAGAGTAAAGAAACATATAGATGCAACTATGAAATATTGAGGTCTAATAAAATAAAAGGATTTATCTGTGCAACAAACTCAATATTATTTACAACATATATTTACAACAGACTGGTCTTTTAGCTTTATATGTAGACTGTACAGAGTTTTGATCAGAGGTCATGAGAATATGTGGAATATCATGGAATTTTAAAATGTGTTTTCCAGACATTAAAGTCAGGGAATTTTATATATTTTTGTCCAATTCATTCAATATCAGGGTATTTTGTTTTTCATTTTTTTGTTATTGAGCACTTTTTATTTGTGAATGATGTCCTGACAAGCCAACATTTGCGGCAATTAAAGAATATGTCCATGCTTCTCTAAATTTTGCACCATTTGCTTGATTTTTCAATAAAATCAGCAATCGCAGAATCACAGAATTC